CTGCCACTGACAGTGATCAGAAACCCAGGAGGGCGCTAAGAGCCCCCAGGGCCGCCTTTGTCCCCCCCCCCAGCCATGATCGGAGAATCAGGCGCCTTTGCCGCCCTGGCCAGTGATAGCAGGAAGTAGGGGTGGAGCCAGCAATGGGAGCTGGGCATGGTCGAAGCTGGCAGTACTGGGAGCTAGGGGTCCCTTGCCCAGGCCTGACACCTCTGCCGGAGGCCTCAGGCCTGGTCAAGGGGCCGATACAGTGATTAGTTATTGGAGGGTGATGGGGGTCTACGCCTCTGGCCGAGGCATCAGGCCTGGGCTGGGGGCAGAACCAGTGATGGGGGGCAATGGGGGTCCCCTGCCCAGGCCGATCCTGCGATTGGAGGGTGATGGGGGTCAATGCCTGAGGGCTCCCAGTATGTGAGCGGGGGCAGGCTGGGCTGAGGGACACTCCCCCCCCGCCCACACACACACACCCAGTGCACGAACTTTGTGCACCAGGCCCCTAGTACAAATATATTAAAAAGAAAAAAAAAGCACAAGGCTATGGGAGGCAACCAGTCAATGTGTTGTTCTCACATCTATGTTTCTCTCTCTCTCTCTGTTCCTCTCTCCCTTCCACTCTCTCTGAAAATTAATTGAAAAAATATCCTCACGTGAGGATTAACAAAAATTAAAATAAATAAATTATGAGTTATATAGTATGTTGGAAAGTGTTAAGTACTATAGGAAAAAGAACGGAGCAGGATAAAGGGAGCAGTAGTGGGGATAGGAGGTGGGTTGCAGTTTTATATAGGGTGACCAGCGTGGATCTGATTGAAAAGGTAAAGCCTGAGCAAGGCCTTGAAGGAGGGAGTTAGTCATCTGGGGCAAAAGAGAACAGCTGGACCAAAGGCACTGAAGTGGGGACATGCTGGCATGTTCCAGTATCAGCAAGGAAGCCACTGTGGTAAAACTCAGTGAGAGCCCCGACCCGATGGCTTAGTTGGTTAGAGAGTCGCCCGGTGCACTAAAAGGTGGCAGGTTCAATTCTCGATGAGGGCACATATCCATGTTGCAGGTTCCATGCCTAGTCAGGGACCATATGAAAGGCAACCAATTGATGTTTGTTTCTCTCTCAAGCTCTCTCTCCTCTCTTTCTCTCTCCCTTCCTCTCTCTAAAATCAATAAAAGCATATTCTCCAATGTGGGTTAAAAAAAAACACAACAGTGAGAAAGGGGCAGGGAAGGGCAGATCAGAAACACATCAAAGGCAAGATCATGCAGGGCCTTATACCTTATGGTGAGGACTTTGGCTTTTGTGAGTGAAAATAATGTGCTCTCCATGTTAATTTCCTTTGTTACCCTGAAGCCTTAGTCTTTTCCAAATGTTTCAACCATCCCTACCCACGAGGGGGAGTAACTGGAAGGATGTCTATGCTTGAGTCAGTGAAAGAACAAAGCAAGCCACAACTATCAGCATCCCCATACACCCTGCCCAGTCAGCCAGTGCCCGGATCAGAGAGAAAGCTGAAGAGATCACCAGCAGATTATGAATTTAAGGAGCTGGGATAGTATGTACGTACTACTATCCATGTGAAAATTTTACCTGCATTATCAATTTTGAAAAATATCAGTTTACTTCTTGAGAAAGCTGTGAGGTATTTAGAGTATAATTTATTATTTTGTTTGAAGAAGTTGTAACTACCAAATATTAAGGAATGAGATTTAAATGCAAAATACTTTCCTAAACTAAATATAGTAAATGACTATACTAAAAAAGGTAAATAATGGCTGGGACCGGTTTGGCTCAGTGGATAGAGCATAGGCCTGCAGACTGAAGGGTCCCAGGTTCGATTCCGGTCAGGGGCATGTACCTGGGTTGCGGGTACTTCCCCAGTGGGAGATGTGCAGTAGGCAGCTGATCGATGTTTCTCTCTCATCAATGTTTCTAACTCTCTATCTCTCTCCCTTCCTCTCTGTAAAAAATCAATAAAATATATATTTTTAAAAAAA